ACGCAAACACTCCAGAGTGCCTCGTGAAGTCAAAGAGTCGCAGGTGTCACCGCTCTTGCGTTGATAACAGTGGAACGTCGGCAGTGTTCACTGCCGTACGAACCACTTGGAATGTTTCATTACATTTGATATGGATTTGAACTGTCGGGTGTCACGCATGTGCCACGCTGGGCACGCTTGCGTGCGAGACGTTTTGCCATCTCAAGGGATCTTCTCCCGGGTGAATATCTTTTAGATGTGAATGTTCTGTATACGGAACAACCACCACCACCGCACGCGGGCAGCAGCTACCCAACCACCACCACACGTGTACAGCCTCACCACCACCACCACACGTGGACAGCCTCACCACCACCACCACACGTGGACAGCCTCACCACCACCACACGTGGACAGCTTCACCACCACCACCACCACACGTGGACAGCCTCATCACCACCACACGTGGACAGCCTCACCACCACCACCACACGTGGACAGCCTCACCACCACCACACGTGGACAGCCTCACCACCACCACCACACGCGGGGCAGCAGCAGCTCCACCACCACCACACGTGGATAGCCTCACCACAACCACCACACGTGGACAGCCTCACCACCACAACCACACGTGGACAGCCTCACCACCATCACACGTGGACAGCCTCACCACCACCACCACACGTGGGTAGCCTCACCACCATCACACGTGGACAGCCTCACCACCACCACCACACGTGGACAGCCTCACCACCACAACCACACGTGGACAGCCTCACCACCATCACACGTGGACAGCCTCACCACCACCACCACACGTGGACAGCCTCACCACCACCACCACACGTGGACAGCCTCACCACCATCACACGTGGACAGCCTCACCACCACCACCACACGTGGGTAGCCTCACCACCACCACCACACGTGGACAGACTCACCACCACAACCACACGCGGGGCAGCAGCAGCTCCACCACCACCACCACACGTGGGCAGGGCACCCTGATGCAATTATCTGACATCACGGTGCAGCATGCGCGGCTGACCACGCGCATTGGTGTAGAGGGGCACTCGGCGTTCACGGCCCCACGGACGAGGCCCTCCGCGTGCTCTCGGCCCCTCTCACGGCCCCTGTCACGGCCCCTCTCACGGCGTCTGCTGCTGTCCCCGTGTCGCTGGCCCGGGGCCCATGGGCAAGAGTCCAGCAGGGCCTGGTGGTGCAGCCTCTCGATCAAAGACCCCTCGTGTAGCCTGAAGAGACTTGGGGCAAGTGCTGTTCGCGAGCACCTATGAAGGCCGGCACGGCACACGAGGGGGTGGGTGGCCAGCACCACGCCCGGCCGCCTTTGTCTCCCCAGTGGCGATCTTTACACACCGCCCAGGACCGGTTCAAATAATCGTCCCCGGTGTTGGCCGTGATTCGAATCCGGGTGGCCAGGCTCGTCGCGCAGCGTAGCGCTAACCACCACACGACCTCTCCCCACTCTACCCACGTTGCTTTCAGCGCGAGGGTTGGTGGATCACGCAGAGATCCGTCTCGAGCAGTGACTCTTAACCTTTACTGCAGCCTTGCACCCCTTTGGTTCTCAACGGTTGAATACAATGTAGAATGTTAATAAATACGCAGGGGTTGATGAAACTAAATAAGTTGTGCTTACGTGACCGTGTTTAGTTTGTGTTTCGATGCTTTCCCTTCTCACAAAAATCTCGCCACGTCTCGCACCCCCAGAAAGGGCGTCTCGCACCCCAGGTTAAGAAGAAGAAGAACCACTGGATTCGATTATATTTGGATGCTAAAATTAATGTCCACATAAGCCACTTCGTCAAGCTATCAGTTGTGGTCAAGTCGTTTATGGAAAAGCTCAGTGGGCTTTACCTGGTAAAAAATTAATAGTTTAATTTGTGCATTCTGTTAGCAATCTGCTTACCTTTTCATATACTTTGCACTCCTATAGTTTTTTTGTACTGATTGCTATTGCGACGTTCCGACCCCTTGCCCCGACTGGACCTTCTATATATATAAATAGCTTTATAGTCCGAATAACTGTTCTGATTCAAGCGATAACTCGCTGCGCTGGAGAGAGGTTGCCAGGAGATTACGTTACTGTGCAGCGAGTGCGGTTCCCTCGAATGCGTGCGGTGGGGATCTCCAGCGCTGCAGTTTTTTTCTCCCCCCACGTAAAAATAAAACCAAAGCACTCGTGGGAGTGGAATCGGCCACTCCATCCAAGGCGCTGCGTGACCCCCCCCCCCTCCTGAGAAGAAGAAGTCTCGAGACTTGGCTCGGCTCGTGTGCAGCAGACGCACGCACGCGACCACCGGCGCGCCCGCGGTGACTGTAAGAATGGTTTTGTGATGTGAAAAGTCACTTTTCTTTCACGCGAGATTATTTTCTGTCCGATGGGAAACGCAATGAGGCGATTGCCACAAGGAGCGCGGGTTCGATCCCGATCCAGACGCCACGGTAGCTAGGAGTTGCTAACTACGTCGCCGAGTTTCCAGGATGTCGTGGGGTCGATCCTGACTCTGACGCCAGCTGCTGTATATTTGGAGTTTGCACGTTATATATCTCTCTCTCTCCGTGGTTGCGTATATTTTTCTCCGGGTCCCCTGGTTTTGCCCCATCACATTTAGAATGAACATCACGCATTGAGTATTTGGCTGCTATAAATTTCCACGTGATAAGCCACTTCGTTGAGCTATCATTTGTGGCCAGGTCGCTTCTAGAAAAAGAGCTCTATTGCTCAGCGGGTCTTACCTCTGATTAGCACGGTTAGCTACTTACTGAGCGACAGTTCAACAAACTAACATACAGTACCTGGAAAAATAAAAAGTGTTTCATTTAGTGCTAAGTTTGACATGGTAAAAAATATATACTTTGAATAGTGTCAGTTTTCATGCATCTTGGCCATCGGCAGAGTTTGACTTCCATATTTGGAGGGGGGCAGGGGTTCGCTTTGTCCCTCACATTAGGAATCGTTCTATATTTTTATCTTAATTATAAACTCCGCCCATGGTCTTGGCACCAAACGAGCACTGAACTCGTGTCCAGCTCCCCGCGTTGCTTGTGGTATTACCCCGACGATGAATCGAAGGTCACTCGCCGTGTGACGCCATGCGGACGTCGCGGTCAGCAGCGGTAGCAGCCGCCGCAGTGGGACTCGCGACCCCGCCTCGCCGGCGCGGTGGTTCACGCAGTGGCCGTGTTTCTAAATCCACCACCCCAACGCCGCCTCTGTCCAGCACAGCAGCAGTGTTGCAGTGCGGTACGCGGGCTCACCCCAGCGAGGTCGCGTGTGGCGGGGTAACGTGTGGGGGATGCCCACAACTCCCGCGACGCGTCTGGTCAACGTGCACGAGTGGACCAAATCCCCTCCCAGAGCGCGCTCGGGAGGAGGCAGCTGTGCTCGCGGGCGGCAGTGGTTGGTTCCGAAGGGCCGCGCATCTTGGACGTGTTTTCCCCGTTGTTGCATTGCTACGCGTTTTGCCACGGGGGGGGGGGGGGGGAGCTGGAGTAAGCCGGATGATGTCCACGCGTTCGAGGAGGTAACACGCGACGCGTCGCCATCGAACAAGGACGGTCCCCGCATCGCGCGGCGCTTTCAGACGCGCTACTGCGGCGGACGTCTGGAACGTTCTCCCTTACGATGTGAGGACGCCACTGGGAGCTACGCACTTTGAAATCTCAATAGAAAACAAATTTCGTTGGAACTGCTTTGTTGTCCTTCCCGCCCGCACCTTACGATTAGCACGGTTGGCTACGTACGGTGCGACAGAAGTTCAACATAAATACGTGCAAGCGCAGATTCTATCCACTGCTGTACTGCCCTCTGCAATCCAAACCTACCACACCTTATAGTCGCAGGCAGTGTCCCATTGAAGAGCTTCCCAGGGGCAGACTTGCTTAGCTTCCAAGATCCGATTTGATCATTGGCGGCTCACAATCAGAAGGTTGTCTGTCCAAACCCCGGTTTGGGGGTTTGTCTACTCGGCCCGTCATCCTTTCGGGGGTCGATAAAGCGAGTACCACTTTGTGGCGAAGCCAACAGTTGGGTTGTCCGATAGCGAGACTTGCCCCACCAACCCGCAATAGGAATGTGGAATCTTAATTTTAGAACTTTCGTGACTGCAGTAAATGATTATTTGGTTCTTTCGGTTAAGTCACGTCTAAAGATAAAATTAAATTAAATAATAAATTAAATTAAATAATAGCATACGACGTTTCGATAATAGCATACGACGTTTCGATTTCGAATGTGGAGTTTCCACCACCGGGCTCAAGGACCCCGAATCGCGCCACTGGGTCCCGCTCGCTCGCTCGGGCGTGTAAGTGGAGGTTCGCGCAGCTGCGGGGAGCAAGCGGCGGGGAGCAAGAAGGGAGCAGCAGCAGGGAGCAGCAGCAGGGAGCAGCAGGGAGCAAGCGGGGAGCAGCAGCAGGGAGCAAGAAGGGGGCAGCAGCAGGGAGCAGCAGCAGGGAGCAGCAGGGAGCAAGCGGGGAGCAAGAAGGGGGCAGCAGCAGGGAGCAAGAAGGGGGGGGGCAGCAGGGAGCAAGAAGGGGGGGGGCAGCAGCAGGGAGCAGCAGCAGGGAGCAGCAGGGAGCAAGCGGGGAGCAAGAAGGGGGCAGCAGCGGGGAGCAAGCGGCGGGGAGCAAGAAGGGGGCAGCAGGGAGCAGCAGGGAGCAAGCGGGGAGCAAGAAGGGGGCAGCAGCAGGGAGCAGCAGCAGGGAGCAGCAGGGAGCAAGCGGGGAGCAAGAAGGGGGCAGCAGCGGGGAGCAAGAAGGGGGCAGCAGCAGGCAGTGCGCTCCCGCTAGGCGATGTTCGGCCGGGCCGCTGCTGGCGGGGGGGGGACCCGCGGCGTGGGAAGATCCTGAGGTGGGGGGGGCGGGGCTTGAGGGGGCGGGGCTTGAGGGGGCGGGGCGCGAGGGGGCGGGGCGCGAGGGGGCGGGGCGCGAGGGGGCGGGGCGCGAGGGGGCGGGGCGCGAGGGGGCGGGGCGTGCCCCACCCACCCCGAGGGGGTCGCCGCTCCTCACCGCGCCGCACTCGCCCACCCCGAGGCCGGTGTTGAGTTACTCGGCTCCGCCAAGCTCCCTCCCTGTTCCCCGCAGCCGCGAGAGAGACCCAACTCGGATTAGCTTCCTTACAGGTGGCTGGGTGGGCAGGTGGGGGGCTACGTACGGTGCGAAAGAAGTTCAACGCGCACGCAAGCATCGTTCGCGGTGGGCCGGGGAGCGAGGCGCGTCCCGATGCCGCTGGAGTTGACGAAGAATCCCCTGCGCAAGGTTTGGGTGCCGCGCCACGGGCGCGATGACTGCGGGCAGCTGCCTGCGGCCCACAAGAACGGATGTGAGTCCTGTAACACTACACACCACTCACTACACACACCACACTACACACCACACACACACTACACACCACACACACACCCTACACACACTACACTACACACACACCACACACTATACACACTACACACACACACACCACACACACACCACACACACACTACACACACACTACACACACACACCACACACACACCACACACACACACACTACACACCACACACACACACTACACACACTACACTACACACACTACACACACCACACTACACACACCACACACCACCACACACACACACTACACACACCACACACACACCACACACTACACACCACACACTACACACCACACACACACACCACACACACACACCACACACACACACCACTCACTATACACACTATACACACACTACACACACCACACACACACACTACACACACACCACACACACACCACACACACACCACTCACTATACACACTATACACACACACACCACACACACACTACACACACTACACACACCACACACACACACTACACACACCACACACACACACACCACTCACTATACACACTATACACACACACACCACACACACACCACACACACACTACACACACTACACACCACTCACTATACACACTATACACACACACACCACACACACACACCACACACACACTACACACACACACACCACTCACTATACACACTATACACACACACACCACACACACACACCACACACACTACACACACACCACACACACTACACACGCACCACACACACACTACACACACACCACACACACACACTACACACACACACCACACACACACACACACCACTCACTATACACACACCACACACACACCACTCACTATACACACTATGCACACACACACACCACTCACTATACACACCACTCACTATACACACACCACACACACACCACTCACTATACACACTATACACACACACACCACTCACTATACACACCACACACACACCACACACACACCACACACACTACACACACACCACACACACCACTCACACACACACCACTCACTATACACACTATACACACACCACACACACACTACACACACACTACACACACACACACTACACACACACACTACACACACACACCACTCACTATACACACACCACACACACACCACTCACTATACACACTATACACACACACCACTCACTATACACACTATACACACACCACACACACACTACACACACACACTACACTATACACTACACACACCACACACACATACACCACACACACTACACTACACACACACACTACACACACACACACTACACACCACACACTACACACACACACCACACACACATACACCACACACACATACACCACACACACATACTACACACACACACTACACACACACACCACACACACATACACCACACACACACCACACACACACCACACACACACACTACACACACACACCACTCACTATACACACTACACACACACCACTCACTATACACACACCACACACACCACACACTACACACACACTACACACACACACACTACACACACCACACATACACACTACACACACACACACTACACACACACTACACACACACACTACACACACACTACACACACACACTACACACACACACTACACACACACACTACACACACACACCACACACACACACACCACACACATACACCACACACACTACACACACACTACACACACACTACACACACACTACACACACACCACACACACATACACCACACACACACTACACACACACTACACACACACTACACACACACACTACACACCACACACACACACTACACACACTACACACACACACTACACACACTACACACACACACTACACACACACTACACACACACACACACTGCACACACACTACACACAACCTACACACACACACACTACACACACCACACACACACTACACACACACACCACACACACACTACACACACACCACACACACACCACACACACACACTATACACACACTACTCACACACACTACACACACCACACACACACCACACACACACCACACACACACACACCACACACACACCACACACACACACACCACACACACACACCACACACACACTACACACACACACTACACACACCACACACACACCACACACAGCAGGGAGCAAGGACCTGTCCTGTCCTGCCCTGTTAGACAGGACAGGATCTGTCTAACAGGACATGTCCTGTTAGACAGGACAGGATCTGTCTAACAGGATCTGTCTAACAGGACCTGTCCTGTTAGACAAGACAGCTCACAAATCCGGCGTTTCCCGCCTCCTTGCCTGAGGTTATATTTGTCAATCTCATTTCTAAAGCTCACAACAGTTGCTGCTCAGGCTTAACAACGTGGAGTATCCGTAATAAAAGGGGGTTTTCTTTCGTTGAGTTTGATCGCGCCAATATAACGTGTGTCGTTAAACCCGCCACCACCCGACACGACCAATTAGTCAGGGGTTTGACACCAAGCGAAACTTGCCAATTAGTGTGCAGCTTCAGCACCACAGCGGTTGTGTGTGGGAGAGAGGAGTAGACCCCCCCACAACGTCCACAGTTCGAGTACTGTGACGTTTCTAATTGGCCACGTTTTGTTGCACGTGACTCACCTTACTCATTGGCTGTGTCGGGTGGTGGTGGGTTTACCGACACACTTTAATATTGGCGCGATCTCGAACCCCCCCCCCCCCAAAAAAAAAACACTTATTATTGGTCACGAAAACCTACTACTACACCTACCACTACTACTACAGCTACCACTACTACTACAGCTACCACTACCACTACACCTACCACCACTACTACTACACCTACGACTACTACTACACCTACCACTACTACTACACCTACCACTACTATTACACCTACCACTACTACTACACCTACCACTACTACTACAGCTACCACTACTACTACACCTACCACTACTACTACAGCTACCACTACTACTACACCTACCACTACACCTACCACCACTACTACTACACCTACCACTACACCTACCACCACTACTACTACACCTACCACGACTACTACTACACCTACCACTACTACTACACCTACCACTACACCTACCACTACTACTACACCTACCACTACACCTACCACCACTACTACTACACCTACCACCACTACTACTACACTACCACTACTACTACACCTACCACTACACCTACCACCACTACTACTACACCTACCACCACTACTACTACACCTACCACTACTACTACACCTACCACTACACCTACCACCACTACTACTACACCTACCACCACTACTACTACACCTACCACTACTACTACACCTACCACTACACCTACCACCACTACTACACCTACGACTACTACTACACCTACCACTACTACTACAGCTACCACTACACCTACCACTACACCTACTACACCTACGACTACACCTACTACACCTACCACTACACCTACCACCACTACTACTACACCTACCACCACTACCACTACACCTACCACTACAACTTGCTTGTAGACATTGATTACACTGGTCAACACACTTTTTCTGGCATAAGATATTCCAACGGTTATAAGGTAATTTTGGGGTGCTGATTCCAAATCTGGCATCAGTTTTTGTCTATCACATCAGGTTTTTGGGATATCAAATATTGCATTTTCAATAAAAACTGCAGAAGAAAAATATTAAATAAATGTGGATATCTACATAAAATGTTATTATAAACACACTATCCTAAAAATACAGCACCATATTTTAATACTAAAGCAGTCACTGACTCGCAACAACTTACAATCAGAAGTGACAGAGTTCATTTTTGGGTAAAATCAATGAAAATGGGGTATGCCGATAGCATAAAATGAGATGTAATAGAGCAAATCTAAGATCAGATTTGGAATCAGCACCCTGAAATTAGACTTAAACAGCTGCAAAAGTCCAGGCCAGAAAAAAAGAATTTTTTGTTGACCAGTGTTATCAACGGGGATTATCGATCTGGGCCGTGACGCGTGTTGTAGGTACGTAATGGCCAGCTCACCCGAGCCTTCTCAACACTGTGCGTGCGGGAGGTCGCGGCTGCTGCTGGTGGTGATTGAGATGACGATATCTGATGTATAAAAATCTATTTTTAAACGAAATTATTTTTTATTTTACGACGTAGCTCTTTTTCAGAAGTGACCTGGCTTTCACAAGTGATGGGTCAACGAAGTGGCTTGTCACGTGCACATTTAGAGCAGCCAAATACTCTAAAGGCACGCTTCTACAGGGCTGCTTTTCTCCTGGCGAGCCGGGGTATGGTCACTCCTCGATGCCCACGCAACGGGAAGAGAGTTGCACGACGTTTGTGTGAGCCACCAACCCTCACCTCCACAGCGCGCCATTTACTGCCCACGAGCAGCGTAGCCACCACCCCGAACAGGGCTCTCCCAAGTCGCCCGCTCACTCCCACTCTCTCTCTCCCACTCTCTCTCCCACTCTCTCTCCCACTCTCTCTCCCACTCTCTCTCGCACTCTCTAATTCACTCCCACTCTCTCTCGCGCTCTCTCTCCCACTCTCTCTCGCGCTCTCTAATTCACTCCCACTCTCTCTCCCACTCTCTCTCGCGCTCTCTAATTCACTCCCACTCTCTCTCGCGCTCTCTCTCCCACTCTCTCTCGCGCTCTCTAATTCACTCCCACTCTCTCTCGCGAGCTCTCTCTCGCGCTCTCTCCCACTCTCTCTCTCTCTCACTCCCACTTTCTCTCGCACTCTCTCCCACTCTCTCTCCCACTCTCACTCCCACTCTCTCGCGCTCTCTAATTCACTCCCACTCTCTCTCTCGCGCTCTCTCTCCCACTCTCCCTCGCGCTCTCTAATTCACTCCCACTCTCTCTCCCACTCTCTCTCGCGCTCTCTAATTCACTCCCAGT